ATTTAAGAAATTTCAAAAACAAATTTATATATATAAATTGATGAAGTTAATTAGTAGTGTGACGTAAGAAAAAATCCGCAAATGTACTTTAGATTCACCCTTCACATGAAAACACCCTGCTTTAAAGGGTGCAAAAGGATGACGTGTTACAATCCAAAAACAATTGTGAAACATTATTTATTTTTTTACTCTAAATCAATTTAAATTTGATTATAAAAATTGTAATAAACACTCACAATCATTTTAATACAATAGTATTTATTTATTTAATTATGAGATGCAGCCTATCTCAATATAACTTTATATTATGACTCAAAACAATTTTTGTCTAGTTTTTTTCTATATTGCTCATAAAATGTCACCTGCTTTATAATTTTGATAAACGCATTTACATCCAATTAGGTAGGTACTTATTGACTGAATCGTAGTATATTCATGAATATATGTTAATAATTAAATGGTGTTGATTAAGAAGGGAGGGATAATAAAATAATTTTGAATTATTTTCACCGACTGTTGGATGGTAGAGATATTATATATTCAGAGATATTATTCATCTTAGTATGTGCCTGTAATATTTTTAATTTAATTTAATAATAAATACTTACGTCAGAAAAACAAAAATATACAGTAATAAAGTACAAACAATGAATCATGGCATAAGTAATAGACTTCTTCAATTCATCAAACATCATTGATGCATAAAATTATAAAAAAAATACTTGATAATATTCTGTTAAAGGCCATAAAAAAAAAAATCATGATGTCATATAACAATTTCGTAGAAAAATAATTAAAATAATTAAACACAAAACGTTTATCAAAAAAGACAAACGTGCATAATAGTAGTAAAACAGTTTTATGTTACTAAAATTAAGTAACCGGAAAGTTTACTTCATTTTCATTTTATCTACAGTTTATATAATTATATTAAGAATAAAGAAAAAAAAATTTTAATTTTTCGTAAATTTTACACAATTTATAAAATAAATAAAAAATATAAAGATTCGAAGACTTCTTTTTTTTTTTTTTAGAATAATTATTAATCTATAAAAATCACAACCAATAAAACACAAAGACGTCATATTTAAAAAAATGATTTTCAATATCTATTTTTTATCGATTAACATTAAAATATTCATACATTAATAAATATTATATTAATAATAGTGACATAGTGGACTGTAATTGTATTGTTATTTGACATTTTGTACTTTTAAAAGAATACAATTAAGATTTGCCTGATAAAAATAAAAGACAAATTCCTAATCGTAAACGTGTCCAAATCGGACTGCCAATTAACTAACTTAATAGCTAATTAAAACGCGAAATCTTATTTCATATATTAGTTTAGCATTAAGTAAAATCGATTAGATTTTTTTCGTTTTTATTTCCACATAAGAAAACAAATGATAAATTCAGAGGATAATCTCTAAATAAACAATACGTGTAGAATTTTATATTTAGAAAACATTAGATTATACTTAAAATACAAATTGATTACCCAAAAGTTAAGTTGGAAGAAAAATGGAAAAAAATAATTCTGAAATCTATACCTACTTTGCTAATAAATCTATTAGGATAAATGTTAACTTTTTTTATTTTTTCACTGATATTCCTATGTTGTACACAACATTTGAATTTAAGAGTTTATTTCAAACTATTAATTTGATTCAACATTATAAAAAAAATAAGTTAAAAAAAATATTTGAAAGTTGTTCATTATCTTTAATGAGAACTAATGAACCAGCATCAGATAAAATAATTATTAAATTAAGCACTGAAATAATTTTATCAAATAATTAAAAACTATTTAAAAAAGGATAAAAAAATACAATATTTAAATTGGTATAGTTATAAGATAACATTAAAATAAAATAAATTATAATTTAATTGCTTTTAATCTGTTGTGGAGGGGACTCTCTTAAATATTATAACCCTCCCATCACCAGATGGTCAACTATAAACCTGTAAATACAATAATAATTGTTCCGATATTTTTTGTAATAACAAAACTTTAAAATATAATATAAAGTACACTATTTAGGACGTTTTTATTGTTTTGTCATACGGATGAACAATATACAAAATTTATTGAACAAATAATTGTAAGCATTTAATTATTGCTTTCATATACCTATATGACAAAAATAGTGTCATACACAATGATATAAACATATTTATTATTAATACAAGAGTATAATTTAATAAACCAAAGTAAATGAATAATAATACATTAGGTCATCAGAATATGTGTACTTTAATATATCCGAATATCAATACATAATACATACTATACTTTATTACATTATTAAACAATTAATAGCAAATTTTAAACACAACAACTTAAATTAAAGCAAATGTGGTGGTGAAGTTAGGTTATAACATAACATACCATATTACATATTATATAGGTAATCACTATCAGTTTTGGGAGCAAAACGCGAACAAAGTAAAGACGTGTATACTAATCATATTAATTTCAATTGATATTTGTGCTTAAACATTGGGTACCTATCTTACAAATACATACTTAACTTACTGTACTAATAATACAGAACACTTTTATACTTAACCTTTTCACAAAAACAACAAAACATAATAATTTTTTACATGGATCATATTCTATTGTATTAGAAACTTTTTGTTTATTTCTTTAATAAGATCATACCAGTAATTTAAAAATAAAATTAACTAAAAAATAAATTTAATAAATGATGACATATTCATTTGCATTTTGCTTAAAATCCATAAAATAAACAGTTATTATTATTGTGTTTTGAAATACTAGTGTGTTCTTTAAGTTGAGATCTTTCCACATATATTATTATCAGACAGTTCACTAGAAAATTATTATTTCAACATAATAATCTATGATGAATAAAATATAAATATTTTTAACAGAAACATTCATTTAATACTAAAACCTTAGTGTTTAATCAGTATAACAATACTACACAACATAATATTTAATTTGACAATGATATTGAATATTCTGAAGGAAATTAATAATTTTCAAAAATCATATGATTATAACAAATTTTAAAAATCTAACAATATATTGAAATAAATGTGACAAATATAATAGAACAGGTAATAAAATAATAGGCAATATAATGAACCATCACATAAAATCATATACTGAGAGTATGTTTGCTAAAAAAAAAAAATGAACACAAAAAACTCTGGAATCTATATAGAAAAAAAATAAAAAAAATCATGATTTTAAAAATAATCAGTTATAATATAGTTTAACTAGGTACAATTAAAAATAAAAATATTAGCATATGGTTTAGTAATGAAAACCTGTTTCACTTGATTTATTAATTATATGTATCATTTTAAATTGCAACTTACATACTATTAGAGATCTTAAATTACGGTGGCAAATTGCATATCTATCATGAAGAATATTAGTGTGATTTTTTTAATGCACTAAAATATTATTGTTTTTACTTTTTTTTTTTAAGAATAGTTAAATGAAAACAAAATATTTTATTAAATTACAAACTTGTTGACATTACATATAATTCTCAAGTTATTTTAATAAATAAGTCAAGTTGAGGCGTACAAAAATATATCTTAGAAAGATTTATAATTGTTCAGAATATACTGGAACATCATCAAATATTCTTAATAAATTATTAATTGCATTTTTGATAAAAATTTTTACACAAAAACTAACTTGATTTCGTATAAAATATATACACAGTTATAATATTAAAAGTTTTTTCACAACCAACCTTCATTTTTGTTATTAAAATTTATTATTACTATAATAATTTATCAAATAAAAATTATCAAAATTTTTATGAAATTGTTACATAGTGTTATATAATAATATATCACAATAATTCAAAAGAGAAGTTGCAAATAAAAAAAAACTTTTAGAATTTGTGTTTTTTAAATCATACTACATACTACATATTGGCAAACACAATTAAATTATAACTATTCATTAAAATAATTATCTAAAGGTTTAAATATAAGGAACTTTGACTTTGACCATTTTTATGTTTATTTTAGGACTAATTTTAAGTGCAGTCATAATTTAATTTTAATGCTTGAGAATATTTGATTACAACTAATATATAATAAACAGAACAAAATAAGAAAAAATATATTTTAATAATCAATAAATTAATAACATTAGTCACATTAAACTTAAAAGTATTGTATTATCAAGATATGTTTTTTTATATTTTAACTAAATAAATAAAGATAGAGTACTATGTTATAAAAGAACAAGTAGCAGATGCTTATGTACCAGTTATTAATATATTTATTTGACAAGCTTAAGCACAGAAATCATTATATAATTTATTTTAAAAGTTTTTTTTTTTTGAGGACAACTGATATTTAAAAAATCAAGTAAAATAAAAAAATTAATACTCTGAAATGTTTAGGTTTTAAAATAATATTTAAAAGAAATATAAAACAAATCAGGATTAAGAAAAGTAGGTAATGAAAAGTAAAAAGCACCATACTATAGTTCAATCATACATAAAATAGTCTTAATGGTTAAAACATAAAAATGCTTATATATTAGGTAATATCCATTTCAATGATTAAGTAATTAAAAATCAATGGAGTAAATTGAATATTAAAACATAAAATTATTGTATGGTAAGATTAAGGGTAAAATTAAGGGCAATTTAATTTGGGCAAAACATTTAAAAAAAAAGAGAAATAATATATTTTCATGTATTAATAATAGAAATTTATAATATAATTTTCACAAAAAGTAAGTCTTTCATTTTAAAACTAGTTATTTTATTTTTTATTTTATATATATATTACTTTTTATCATATTGCAATTTTAAACCATATTAAATATATCGAACAAAACTAATTTTAAATTCACATAAACTATAACTCCTCTTTGGTAACGATTATCACTTTTAGTACATTTATCTTTCATAGGTTTTAAATGTACTTCAACATCTGTGGTAGTGATAGTTCATAAAATAATCTATGATTTTATAACTGAATTTTTTTCCTTTTATATTAAAAAAAACACACATACTTAAAGTTAAAACTAATCAGTCGAAACTTATTAGGTTATCAGGTAATTTAGTATCTGGTTGGTGTACTAATTTTGCTGCATGATATAATCTTCTGTACCATTGTAATGCAGTATTATCGCTTTCAGCACGAAACTTATATGTATTTCCTAAGACATAAATAAACTTATATAAAATAAATTATCAAGAATAAAAATAAAAAATTGATATTTACTTTGATCAGGATGTTTGATCAAAAATGTATCTGGATTATCCCCAAGACTAATAGTACATCCTTTTAATGGGCAAAGTTTGCAAGGTTCTCGTTTAAAGTCGTTTCTATTACAACTATAGAACAGAAATATTATATTCACATATTTACTTAGTTTAGTTATGTATTTACCCTTTAAATGACTTAGGAGAATAGTAGATTAAAACAGAAGCCCATAATTGTATCCAATATCGTTGCCACGTTGTCACAGCTGGTTTTCGACCATTTTTTAAAACCACTTTGCGTCTCAAGCAACTCTCCAGACTTATTTTATGTGCTCCTTTCAATGTTCTATTTAAAATCAAAATTGCATGTATTTCAATAGCAAATTGTCAACGTTATTTATTTACTTACTGTGAAGGTGAAAGGTTCAAATTAGATAAATCTAAAGTATTTTCTTCTATGAGTGAGTCATCAAGTAAATTTCTTGAATTAACAGTTGACAATATTCCTTCGTCAGATTTATGAATTAAACTAAAAAAAAAAAAAAATATGAGATTAAATTTAAAATATTAATTAACCAACTAACTCTTAATTACTAATTATCTCTTAATACTAATAAAAAAAATTGTTTCAATAAAGATAGTTTATCATAAGACAAAATATTCACAATTATTAATTTGAAAATGAAAACAGTAATTACATTTAACACAGTTCGAAAATATCATTTTTATTTACCATTAAACAAGAAAATGAAATTATAAAAAATATTTAAATATTATTTAAATGCATATATTATTTTAAATTTTCAATCATATAAATTACATAAAATAATTAAACAATAACAATATCAATTACTTAACTACTGAACTAGTAAATATTATTAAAATATTGATTGTGAAACTAAAATATTTTTATAAAAGACATAGAAATGTTAATGTACCAAAGTAGACAATTTCTTTAACTTCATTGATTCAAAAGAAAAATAAAGATTTAAATATATCAATAGGAATTTTTTTTTTTTTTTGTTTTTTATATAAAACATTGGTTTGTTTAGCTATTAGTTTAACATTAACTTAAAATTAGTTTACATTGTTGTATTTATACTATGTGGTTGTGTGGGTTAAATTATGTTATATAATGGTATTTATTTTATAAATTGTATGGTGTTGATAAATTATTGTGGGTCTGGTCCTAATGCTTTTCCGATCTGTTGTGATCCAAGGTTTTTTTTCTCATATCTTCATATTTATGGCATTCAGTGATTATGTGCTTGACTGTGTAGTCCACCACACATATTTTACATATGGATGTATCATTTTTTGTCAAGAGGTGATTTTGTGTGATAAATATAAGTCCTATTTTTATATTTTTTTGTCTTTGTATGTGTATATATTGAGAATTAGAGTGTCTATAGAAATGGATGCTTTTTTGTTGTCATGAATCTGCAAAGTCCTGGTCCCATACACAGCATATACCTTATTAATTCATTTTTACTAGATTAAGTAGACAATATTTTAATAAATTAGAAAATTAATAATTTGGAAGATTACTAATTAATTAAATTGAGATTAGTTTTATATATATACACATACATATATATAAAACATATTTTTTTATTTTTTGTAAAATAACTTACATGTTATTTATTAATGACTATTCAGAATATCATCAATAGAGCGCGGATTTTTATGCACTTAAAAGTATTGAAATATGCCATATAATATTCAGTAAAAATCATGAAAATATGCAAAAAATATGCAGTCCAAATCATAAAAATATGTAAAAAATATGCAGTCAAAATTATGAAAATATGCAAAAAATATGCAAGAATTTTTTATTTATTTAAAATTTATAATTCAACTTATAAAAATTAATTACTTAATTACTTAAAACAAAAAAATGTAGGGAATTTTCTGAACTTATTTTTTTTTTAATTTTATTTATTATTAAAATAAATAATCATATGCATTTCAAGTTTATCTTCTGTGAAGCTATGTCGTTTATCGGTTAACATATTTTTAAAGACTAAAAACGAACCTTCGATGTCAACCGAAGTTATTGGGGGATATTTGAAGCAAGTGGTATGTCGATAATCGACTGACACAGCAAGAGCGATTAAGTTTACATCATTATATATATATATAAATTATTATTTAGTGACTATGAAATTTATTTTTAATTTTTCTACTAGACAAAATATTATTTTATACATTTTTTTTAAAATTTTGACTTCAATATGCAATAAATTTTGAATTTTGCCACAATATGCAAAAATATGTAATAACCTCTAAATATGCAGAAATATGCAAAAATAATTTCACCATTAGCTTCAAATTATGATGATTCGTGGAGATAACTGACAAAAATCCAAAAATATTGAAAGGAAAAAAATATGCGATTGCATAGAAATCCGCGCTCTAATCATCAACAATAAAAGATAAAAATTAGGAATATTCAATTCAATTTTCCATTTCTATTCCCGAAAATAGTTTAGTGATAACTTATAAACTAACCTCAACATTATAAAATATTATACTTACATATTTATTTATTTAAAATTAGTTCACAATTTTCATGATTAAAAATTACAAAGTTAATTCTAATAAATTTGAACACCGGTTTTAAGTTGAAATATAATTTAATTATTTTCAGGATTTTGGTTTTAGAGAAAAACCTGATTCACATATTATTAGTCAAATTTGGGTTTGGATTTGTACCAGGTTAGAATTATTTTTGGGTACTCTGGATTTCAAACCTGGTTGAAATTTTGACTCTCTACATTTATCATTAAACAAAAAAAAACTATAATAGTTTGCTATTTTCTTACTGACATTAAGACTTTTCCACTTAGCTAACACTTAGCTAACCTAACACTTAACCAAATGAGACTAATAAAAAAAATTGCATTTATATTTTAGTATAATTAAAACATAACCAAAAACTTACATATACTCAAATAATTAAATAATATTACACATGGTATAAAAATGTTAATTACCACTATCAGTATTTTCAACATAAACTATAAAAATAATTATAGCAATTGAACCATTTGTTTTAAAAATTAAATATCATGCAAAAACATTTTATTTGTCTCGTTAATTAAAAATTTAATTTTTTTGGTTAGTCTATTATTAATACAACATTTATACATTTGAATACTAAATCGTGTTCCATTGCATTCATTAAAAAGTCATTACTTAATATTTGTAATTATATACATATACTATGTATTTTGATTATTAACTTAAATGTATTATCATTATGTATATCTACAAATAATTTTAATTAAAATATTATGTTTATTAAATACCTTAAGAACTAATATGAAATTATGAAATCATATAAATAAGTAAATAAAGCAACTAAAATAGAATTTCCAGCCAAAAGCAATAACAATAAACCATACTAAGTGATACTATCAAAAACAATAAACCATATTGTTATATTAAAAAAAAAAAAGTGCGAATAATGGTTTATTTGTTTATAACACTCTAAAAACCTTATTTCTTACCTATTATTATTACAAACTGCAGATTGAATCACAGGTTTTTTAAGAAAACTACGCGGTAGACTTGCACTGCGATATCTGATTAAAAAATAAATTTATGTTTAAGATGACATATAGTCATTTTTATATATGGTAGTTAACTGTTATCAATTTATTATTAAATGTTAGACATACAATTTATTTCTATATTTATAAGCTCATAAGACATAAAAAAATTATATTATTATATATAGCTTACTTTGAACAGTTAGTTTTCTGTTGTTGCTTGCACAAAGAAAATTTTCTAATTCTCATTAAATCAGTTGATTTTGCTGGAGACAAACTTAAAGAATCTAACAAAACTTGATTAACAGATTCTTTCGATCCCTTATCAGTTTGACAAGACAGTGGTTCTAATTTTAATGACAACCTACAAATTAAAAGAATAAAATAAGTTAAAATCATAATTTATTAATAATCTATACTATAGATTCTTAAGTTTAGATTCTAAACTATACATACTTGTATTGATCATCTTGAACAAACTTATGTAGTTCTTCAATGTATCTAATGGAATTAAAATAATCATTTATCTTTGGAAATTGTATTAAATGATCATAACGACTTTGTTGCATGTGAGATATGACTCTCAAAATATTATTCATTTTTAGCCGTCGAGCTTCAGATTCTAATAAGCCACTGCTTTTATGAGGATGTGCCATATCAACATATACCAAATCAGTCAAAAATACACCTAAATACACATGTTTTTTTTTAAAAAAATTAATTAATTGTTTATTTTAAATTATTATATTATATATTTACCTAAATATGGTATACATGGTAAACGTAATGTTTCTAAATGATCCCGAAGATTCCTCCAGTTATTTGATTCTGAGAACACATTAGCTAGTTTATCAAATGACTGTCGATCTTTCTTAGATACGTTGTTCCACGATTTGGATAACCTAATAAATAATCAGCAATATAATTAAAGTAAATTTTGATTATATGATCATAAAAAATCACCTATAAACTGAAGCACTTTGCAGAGAAGAAATAACAGCAAATAATGAATGAAAATTATTAAGATCATATAATTTTTTGGAGATCTTTATAAATTGCGTAATTAAATCAGCACGCATTTTAGGAGTGACACCTTTCAGTATTTCTTGTACGACCCAAAATGATACCTAAGCACAATTTATATTCAGTTAAATTTAAAAAAATATTATACTTAACACTTTTTCTACTTACATGATTGAATTGCCTAGTAAAGGCTACAATATTTGGGGCAACTTCTAGTTTCTGTTTCTTGTTCCAAGAACATGAAGACAATTCTTCTGGTGAGATTTGACTGAATATGTTTAAATCCAATAAAGTAAGTTGAGCAGCCCAATCTTCCGGAAGAATGCCAGGAGTTAAGACACCCTTAGCCTTGTCTATATCTTGTTCATCAACATTATATGGGTGTTTTAAAGTCATGTTGCAAGGAAGACTATGTGTTTTACATTGTCTTGCTAAACCACTGTAAAAAAAAAACTTGTTCAATTTCATTCTATTAGAGTGATTTTTTTTTTTTTAGCAAACAAGTGCGTAATTTGTTATTAATTATTTGTTGTTAATTAAACCTAAATGTTTTATACATTTATACTCTAAAATTGATAGTTTTCTATAAAATATGTAAAAAAAAAAATTAAATTGATATAAAATACAACACAAAAGTTTTGAATGAATCAATATACTATGGATTAGACAATTAGTAATCGATACTTTGGTTGTATGTGCCCATCAATTTTTTGGTTCAAATTATTATGAACAAATACCATTTTTTTAATTAGACTTATTGCTAATGTCATAAACCATTATTCATTGAATAATGTTTTTATGTTGCATATTTCTGTAATTATACATATACTTAAAATATCTTAGTGATTTAAGACACCTACTACCTAATTAATAAATATACAATTTGATTTGTATGTCTCTAGTTATGAATTGTATCAAAAATTTAGAATCAGTGAAGAATGTATTAGTTTAACACTAATCTCTTTTTTCCTATAATCAAATTTTAATGTGATAATTCAATAAAACCGTTTAGTATAGTATCTTATTCAAACAGAAATGATACCACAATGAGAACAAAGAAAATGTATTATAAATTCACAGTAGTTATCATATTAGGAATAAAAAATTAAAAAAAACTTTTAAGTACCTAATCTAAAATTGAGTCAAACATTTGTATTCCTTTTTATAAAGAATTTATAATCTTAGATTTAAGAAAGTGGAGCTGGCTTTAAATAATTTTATTCAATACTAAATGTTAAGAAATTTGACCAATTCAGTTTTTTTTTTTTTTTTACTAAAATTATTTCTTTGACTACTGATCATTTATTTTTTAGTATCCAATTCATATAACACTATATTATCATATTTTTTCCTTCAAAAATTATTTTTTGATGCTTTAACTCATCATTGTTTTCTAATATAAATAAATAATACAACATAGAACTAACAGTTAATAATCAGAACTATCTAATAACATTCTTAAGGTGACCATTTTTGGACGGGACTGTTCTGTTTTTCGTATCTGCGTCCCGTTGTCCCTTGGAAAATTTTCGGAAGACTAAAATGTCCAGTTTTCAGAAAATAGTAAAAATAACGATAGTCAATTGTAATCTGTTATTGAATTATTGTTGCTACGAGTATTATATTAAACTATTATGTGTGCATGTAATGTGTATAGACTGTACAACTGCATGAATGACGTTGAATGAAATCGGGGCTATGTGGAGTATCGAAATGTAACTACACTAATAAAATATAAAAAAAACCTATAGCAGCGAACGATGTATCAACATGGACGTATTAACCTAATGTGTATAAATACCACAAGATTAGCACTAATGAAAAATTATTTTTGATAATTCATTATACCGGTATTACAGTAATCACGGACCGTTTTCTTTTCTTTATGCTAACGTTTTTTTTTTTTTTTTTTACCAAAAAAAGTTGTTTTTAATAAAATTATTTTGTCTCGTAAAAATATATGATCACCTTAAACATTCTACAGAAATATTCCATCAAACTATTCAAATCTCACCCTGAAAATTTTATTTTATTGGTTTCCAAAAATTGTACTTGTTTAATGAAGCAAAATTATTACACTAAAAGTTAAAATTTAATAAATGAAAAGAATATAATTTTATAATTACAAAATAATTGTCTTCTCACCATGTTAATGTTTCTGATAGACGTCTTCTATGTCTTTGTTCACAGGATGGGGTTGATAGATTTGATGGATGCTTTTTCAAAGAGTTATATGTAGTTAACTTTCTATACTCAGTATTGGAAACTAAGTGTTCTAATTTATCATTGTCATCATATGCCGCCTTTGACTTCACTTTCTGTATACAACATAACATTTTTGAAAATTTCTATCTTAAAAACACATAAATAAAAAAAAATTAACAATAGACGAGAATTGTTAAAAAAAAAATCAAGTTGTTTTTAAATAGATCTCATGGTACAAAATAAATGTATATACTGAAAAAAAACGTGAATATGCACTATGTGCACAGTTCACTGACTGAATCTATTATCTTTATTAACACGGTTCGTATCTCGAAAAGATAATATAACTATAATATTTAAGAATGTAATAACATGTTGACCGAATAATAAATATTAAATATATTTTTTAATGTTGATAATAATAATAATAATAATAGTTTAATTAATAACAAGGTCAATGATATCAACGATAATTAGATGGATTCTTCAGAATATTTATTAAACAGAAAACGCATTGTATCCAATTTTTACATAACTTCATTATCGAAAAAAGTTATTTTAGTAAACATAAATTCACCTAATATGATAAATCAACAAATAATTATGACAACGACAAATATTTTGATAACTAGATCGATTATTTCGAAATTTAATACCAAATTAGTAACAACCAATAATAATTAAATAATTTCTATACTAGTATTTTTTATTTGGTAAAATATAAAACCGTTACATTTAAACTTTTTGGAGACACAAATAACGCATAACTTAATGATAAAATACATAAACTACCTAAACTTAAAGAACCTGAACAATAAAAACTAAAAAATAAAAAATCTGAAGTTATAATATTAATGTTATAGAAAGGTGAACTAAATAAAAAATAGTATTAGCAAAATATAATTGCTATTAATTAATATTTAGTATAAGTAAGCATCATTTTTATTCATTTTAGATGAAAATCCAACTTTTTTTTATCTAAGTTATAAACATATTGTGATTTTTATGGTGATACTGGATGAATATGAATTACAGAAACAAATTAATTCCTTTTTTACGACTGGTTTTCATAATTCAAATGAAACTGCATAATAAATAGAGCTGAGATACAAACAAAATACATATAACTCAGAATCGACCCAATGCCTATGGTATTAAAATGATCGAGTTTTTTAAATATACATTACAGCACAAAGACGAAGACAGCAACTATTGTAAATATATTAATAATATAATTATTTATATATTAATACGTTATAATAAGCACCATGTTGTTAACTATTGTGTTATAATTAAGATGAATTTTAAGTTGCCATGCAATCATACATTTTTTTTTTTTGAATTTCTACCCTTTAGAGCTTACTTGAGTAGGTACTAGAGTTGTAACATGAAACTTTAATTAAACAAATTAATAAATACTTACATAGGAAATGTAACAATTATTTTTTAAAAAGTTTTAGATTAAGATTAGAAAAAACAAACTTAAATTAAGAAAAATTGATGTATTTGTTTATTAATGATAATAATATAAGTACTTATATAAAGTAATATTTCGAAAGATAATTTTAAATAAATATATAAAATGCATACATTTTTGGGCATAAATATAGTTTAGCGCCCATGCAATTTTATAATTTTTTTTTCTAAAGTTTTTTTTTACTCTGAAAACTAGATGGTGCAATCAGAATTGAGCGGTCAAACTTAGTTTTTGAGTTATGAGTCCTTTAAATAGTAAATATTTAATGTTATGTTAAATAACTAAATATGGCTTCTTTTAGGATATGGCACCATAGCCTAGTGATACTGCAAGTCTGTTTTAATTCTACGAGTACATATACGAGTTCAAAACTGTCCTCTGTATAACACTTATTTTTATACACTTTTTTTCTAATGTTTTAAATGTTTTAATTAAGGCCATAATACCTTATATATGAAATCGATATACTTGATTTAATTGCGCAGCGAGGTTTTAGGTTCACATACAAAGTATGATTAATCCCATCAGTAACAGTATTAAGATTTTTACAAAAACTAAGTTAGGCTTAGACTATAATTCTCTTTTGGGGCGAAGCCCATCCCCACAAAAATTGCCATGCAGTGGCACTCCAGTTTGCGAGTGAAGGCTGCAGGCGTAACGAGCAAAGTACTAAAATTGTAGTGACAATTGGATATTAGAAAGAGATACATTTTGCTTCAGACTATCAGTTATTAACCATTGGTTGAATTTTATTATAAAGAAATATTATCTATTTAAACGTTTCTATACAATATCATTGAAAATTCGTAATTTTTAAAATTGTATAGCTCAAAAATTAATGATTTCCGCCAATTTATTTTCAATTTCAAACATTATTTTCAAAACGTTTGTTTATCTAGGTTTCAAAAAAAAAAAAAATGAAAAATTCGATTGGGCATTACACTAAATTTGATCACATTTTTATAATGAATAGATGAAGTTTAGTGAAACTTTTGTTATATTCAGGCCCGTATTCGGGAAGGAGAGGGGCATGGATAGGCACATGCCCCGGGAGCGTTAAGTCTTAGGGGCGGAAAAATATTTTAGCAAAATTAATTTTAAAAAGTATGTACCTAATGAAAAAAAAATAAAATAGTATGTTTTATTATGTTATAATTTGTTTAATTTGTTAATTAAAAAAGTATTAAACGAATTTCATTTATAAGTTATATTTTAATATTAAAGAATCTTGATTATGGAGGAAATAAGAAGTGTTATTTTATTATTATTTATTTGTTGGAGACATAAATTATATGCTCGGGGGCGCCAAATTTTTAAATACGGGCCTGGTTATACTGCATAATAATAATGTATACTATAATTTTTATGTTAATATTACTTTTTCAGTTTACATTAATTAAACCCAGTCCTAACCATACCTAACCTAATAAATAATAATAAAAGATTACATTTATTTGAATTTAGACAATATATAAATTTAATTCCAAAAAATAAATTTCATTCAAATTGATTGAGGTTATTTTCAAAGGCAATTGGATTTTATTGTTTGAGTGTATTATTTGAAAATAATCAATAATAAACTTGTAACCACTAAACAAACATAACATTTTTATAACACAATAAAAGACTAATTCATTTAAATATGAATTTAAAAATTCTATACTGATTTTTACAAGATTTAAAGTTTTATTTAATATTTCTGTGATGCATACCATCGTTTTAATAAGATGATTAAATTATTAAAAAGTTATTGTTTTACTAAAATTGAATAAAAATAATAATTTATTTTAAGTACATTACTAACCCACTAATACAGAATAATATACATAATACGTATATAATACCTATTATATTGAAAAAACATGCAGACATAATTGACAAAAGAAAACATTATTGATACTTTTGTTTAGTTTTATAAAATCCTTGAAAATTGAATATAATCAATACATAAAATAAATTTAAACCTAAACATTTACACTGCTTATAATTTCTGATAAAAGAAAAAAAACCGAAAAACCTATAAAAACCTTCATAGAATAATAGTAGCTTTAACTAAATTTCTCTATTAAATCCAGTGAAAACATTAAAGGTTAATAGCTCTATGGCTACATGAATCTATTTAATTAAATGTAACATTTAAAATCAAAAAATATCAAAAATCATAAAAGGTATGAATTAGAATTGCATAAATATGTGATACTAGTGAAAGCGTTACCTCGGACACATTGAGCGAAGGAAAATTGTCAATGGATACATCTCTGGGCATATCTGAATACCTCATCTTTGCCATAGGAAACTGATATTCATTATACACAATCCCTGTAAATGAAAATAAATTATTATTAACAAAAATAAAATAACTACAAATTACATACAACCAAAATAATTGTAGCATTTTAACATAATTAGAAATTTCCGAATATTTACACAAAAATTAATAATATTTAGTACATTTTTATAAAAAATTAATTTTATAATTTTAACATAAACAAAGATAATAATTTTTGGTTTAAATTGATTATAATAAAAATATTTTAAAAATATGAATTAATTTAAAAAAAGTAATAAATATAATACAAGAAACATCAGTTAAATTATTTAATTTAATAGGTAAATTTTTCTTATTCAACAGCGTTTTAGTGAAAACAATTCCTACTTATTTACTTTATATAATTTTAAATAACTTCATCAAGTATATACCACTTTTTTACACTATTTGTGTAAAACGAAATAGTATCCAAAATTGGGTATCAATTAGTGTTTTTAGCCATAAAATGTATAATGAAGTCACTTGGTAATTTTTTCAAGAGGAAAGTGTAAATACAAAAGGTAACGAATATAATCGCGTAGTTTTAAGTGTATAGAGTGTAGTATATAATGTGTAAAATCCACATTATTAATCATACACGGATAGTTGATAACAAGAGCCCGGATTAGCATTTGTATGTTTGTACTAAGTTTATGTACGTCCATAAAGGTTTAAAATATCCACGATTCATATCACACCGAATTTAAACACCAATTTTTATATTGCATATTTTGCATATTTCGAGGATTATTGCATATTTATTCATAAATGCATATAATATGCATATTTAATAGGTTTTTAATAAATTAACTGTTTTAATTTACAGTAAATTTTGTAATCGCCTCGAGTAAAGCACGAATATACATAATAGGTATTAAGTATCAAAAATATTATTTTAAAAGATTTGTATTTTTTTTTAAGTTTTCTATTAGTTTTTTTATAGTAGGTAACTTCAAATGATCTAAAATATTTATTTGTATTCTCGTTTTTAAGTTTCCTAAAAGTTTTAGATTGATTAAAATGGTTTAAAATATAAAGCAGTGGATATTATCATTTTTTTTTTTTGTTTTTGATAAAATATTTAGAATTTTATTTGATAAAAAAAAAAATAAATTTTATGAAGTGTAACATTATGCATATAATTGCATATTTAGCCACTTTTCTTTGCATAATTGCATCATATTTGACACTTTTTAAATGCATATAAATACGGACTCTACTGATAACTAAACCGGTGTGGTGTTGGAAAAAATATTAATAATACATTTCATAATGAATAGGAGTGCCAAAGGTCGAGGGGCTACATTACATGTATGATATATCTACTCGTATGTATACAATACAAATATATATTTTGAATTGTTATTCATGAAAAAGATGCTGACAATAATTACGTGTAGGTTATTTTAACCTTCGGTAAGATAACTGGACAGTTATTTACACAAGAGTATAAGGAAGTACTGCAATTGCAATTATTGTTTCTATTAAAATTAATTAAACCAATGTTACATTGCATATAAACGTAAACTAAAATATTCTAAAAATAATATTGACGTTTTTGATTTAACCAACTGATAATACAATAAATATACACCAATAGTTATTACAATAATTAATAAACATTTAAAATCGAAAAACAATTTTAAAACTAAATACAATAAAAACAATGTTCGAATTTTTTAGAAATTTTACCAAGCACTTAAAAAAAAATTATTTTTCAACATGTTTTCATTATTTTAGTACTACAAAGTCATTTAAATTTTTAAAGCGATTATTTATTAGTGAATAAAAATAAACAGATTAAAAATTATGGCACACAAATAAGTTTTAGTTTAATTTTCTAAAGTATTCTATGATAATATATATAGTGAATGTATTTACATTTTAGAACATTTTCGGATACCACAAAAACTTATAGGACTTTGGCCAGTTTTAAAAATACTAGAGTAAAAGTCAAAATTGGTAAAATATTATTGAGAGGGGTTCAGGTAAACACACAGGTCTTCGGTAAAGTAATACTTTATTCCCAATTATTTTAAATTTGATTTTAGAAAAAATAATCAGAATGATGAATAGAATCACCAAATGAAGGGACAAAATTGGATGATACATTAAGAAGTATTTTATCGTAAGCAGATGAAATAATGCTTCTGGGGAACAACAAAAATACAGTGAAGAGTTTATGCGTAAGACTATAGAAGCGGCAAAAAAATGGACTTGCAAATAAATGAAAGGAAAACAGAATATATAGAAATTAGAAGACAGAATGAATGACAAACAGAAGAGTTTTTAAAAGTAGGGCCCTATAGTTATAAAAAAATTATCAGAATTCAAATATTTTGGTACAATGACCACCTTATCAAACAATATGGAGTAAGAGATAATAAAAAGAATTCAGATGACAACAAATGTTATTTTGTCTTGGGTGACCTATTTAAGTCAAGAATACTCAAAGAAACTAAAAGTCCAGCAGTCAGAGCCGTGTTAAGGGGGGGTCAAAGGGGGCAATTGCCCCGAGCGCCGTAGTTTTTTAAAAGTAAGGGGGCACTCTTATCTGCACTTAATATGCTACCTGTGCCCAATGGCCCCGTAGAAAAATTTTGCCGCGGAGCGCTGAAATGTTTGACACGGCTCTGCCAACAATAAATTACACTAATAAGATCCATGGTAGTGTTTGGAACGCAATGTTGGACTGTTAAGAAAAGTGATAAGTTAATATTGAAGATTTATGAGAGAAAAATTTTAAGAAGGATTTATGGACCCTGCCGTGACTTGCAAACGTGGGAATGACGTAAAAGACATAATGAGGAGCTATGAGACTTGTATAACAGACCAGATATAGCCAGGGCCACATTAAGAGGGGGGCACTGGTTTCAACTGTCCCGGGAGCCAGTTTTTTGGGGGTGCCAAAATTTAGTAGTCGGAAATTTGCTCACTTAAGAATTATTGAACTTTTAAAATTATTATTTTTTTTGTTTTTAATGACAGTATCATAAATTAAAATTAATGTATTTATTTTATTAATATATATTATAAACGTATTTATAGCAATATAGCTATCAGCGATCCAGAATATTATTAATATACTTAATATTAGTTCCCAAATTTGTTGTAATAATATCAATAAATATAAGTTATTTATAATAATACGGCGTTATGTTATCGCGTGCAGTGTGCGGTAGCATGCTTATTACACAAAAATAGCATTAATTTTAGAATATCTAATTGGTTCATGAAGATCTATCTCTTATACTTTCGATGGGCAGACCCCTTAGAGGGGCAACAAATTTTTTTTTTTTTTGCGCCGGGGCACAAAATATCTAGATACGACACTGGATATAGCAAATGAGATGAAAAGAAAAATACTGGAATGGGCAAGTGACGCGTGGAGGAAACTTAAAGCCATGATAAAGACAGTTTTAAAAGAGAACCCAAGAGGCGAAAGACCTCTGGGAAGACTTCGAATCCGATGGGAGGATTGTATCAGGAGACACGTAGCAGACTTCTATCCGGATGGAGATTGGCATATGTAGGCGAAAAATAGTGATGTATGGAGACAGTTATGTTAGGATATATGGTCTAAAAGACCGTAAATAAAATACATATATATAATTTTCAATTATAAGAATGAACTCTGACCATTAGTTTACTAATTTTCTAAATTACGTCCCTAAATTGTTGTCTGTTGTCTAAAGAGTTGTCCGTCATAATATTAAATATTATAAAAAATGTTGATATAATAAAATGTTATTGATTATTTTACACAAATATTTAAAAACGAAGTATAAAAATAATATTTACTTTTCGGTGTCAAACACATATTGAAACTACATTTTTTATGTACCATATATATTTTTAGAAATTTAAACAAAACAAATCCAAAAAATAAAATAATGAACGAACTGCATCCGGTATTAGTAGAATTGGTTCAACTACAATTTATTTGTTTTCCTTTAATGTAAATAATATCATAGCCTAAAACCTACAGTAAGTGTAAAGCTTATTATACCTTTAGTAAATATTATTAATAACAACGGAGTATTGTATATTGCTTTACGTACAATTGTGAATACTTGATCTAGTCAATGAAACACATATCATAAAGTCTTGCTCAACACTTCAAATCAACAAATCAATATAACTAAAATATCTCTAAAAGTCACAATCAAAGCCCTATGGTTAGATCACACGATCTAATCCTGTAAGAACAATAAATTGGCCATTTGGAAAACAAAAAAAAATAGTAACCATTAATTAGTATTCGGTAACTATAATATAAATTATAAGTTCCTGTTTCTAACTTTTATTCAGATTTTTTTTTTTTAATTGTACAGTGATTATTTCACAATTAAATCCCATTATCCAATAACTTCTTACATCGACCAGACTGATTTTAAAGTTTCAAGTTGAAATTATTGGTTCCAATATCTTATTCATCAGGTATTATATTTAAAATATTTGTCGGAATTCATTCTCACAAAGTTCTCATAAAAAAATAAATGAAATCTACGGTATATTTAAATTCCCATATTTTAAGTACCTTCTTTAAGTGTAACTGTTATAATTTTCTTAGTAACAATAAAATTATATCTAATGAAATTAATCTTTTCTCGTATTTATTTCGTTTGAAATCTTGCCAGTTAAATGTAATTTATTTTACTGAACCGATTTGTTATAAATAGATTTCAATTGTGTTAAAACATTCTATCATAAAATATATTTTTCGATTTGAACTCAAACTTCCATTATTAATTGGCTATTTAAGTATATGGAAAAAATTTGAATATTTAATTAAATTTGTTATCTAGAATAGTTTAGATTACAAATGTTGACGTCTTGCACTGTATGTAGGTATCAATTCAAATGGATATTTTTGTTTTTACATATTTTGCATATTCAAGTAAAAATGAAAATGAATTGCATATTTCTATATATTTGCATAAAAAATACATATTTTATAAATAATAAATAAAAAATATTTTAATTGTCTATTTAAAAAAAGAAGGAATAG